TCCGTTCTATGTCTTGGAACAAACATTTGAATGTTCCCACTGTGTTGAACTCTAAATTTATTTCGTAAACAGTTTTCTTCTTTTGCATGTGGCGGAAACCCATCAATTATACATTTAAAACCTCGCGCTCAATAGTGTGGCTGGCACATAAATTTCAAAACACAGAAGTTTGATCACCTGATAATTATTATTATTATCATTGGATATTTTTATAGCGCACATATCCACGCACTAGTGCATGCTCAATGCGCTGGTATTTTTCCCTCGATCATTGGATGTCAATCTCAGCGGCACATCTTATCAAGCTCAGCTCCCTGGGGAACATACGACTCTTGCTGCCACAAGGCACACTGCGTTATTGCGGCTTTCCCATCCTTACGAGGTACCCATTCACAGCTGGGTGAACTGGGACAAATTCTCACAGTACTTTGTCCATGTTTACTGCACGTTGCTGTACCCGCAACTAGGTGTTTGCACGTATTCATGTGGCCACCATTTGGTCATATACCAACGGATTCGTGGGTTCTTTTCAGTGCACAGGGTTGTGTACTGTACACTAGGGGATGTGACAACACTGAAAGAGTCTGCACACAAAGTTGACTCCAAGGTTTATACACCCGGTCACATGTGGGATCGACCCCGGCACCTCATGATGTCTGGATCACTAGCCCTGGCGCCTTAGCCAGTTCGCCCACCATACATATGATAATATCATTAGAACAACCGATTGTGTAAACTATCAGTCTTAGAACGCCTCTAAAGATCAAAATGACAAAGATTGCATTTGTCAAATATTTTCAAGAACTTGGCATGGGTATTAAGTCAAACACCTACTAGAGATGAACGTTTGTGGACATGAAAGTGTGTTCAACAACTTGGCATGGGTATTAAGTCACACACCTACTAGAGATGAACGTTTGTGGACATGAAAGTGTGTTCAACAACTTGGCATGGGTTTTATGTCACATATGTACCAGAGGTAAGTGTGCGGACATCTAAGTGTGCTCAACAACTTGGCATGGGTATTATGTCACATATCTACTAGAGGTAAGTGTGCGGACATCTAAGTGTGTTCAACAACTTGGCATGGGTATTATGTCACATATCTACTAGAGGTAAGTGTGTGGACATGTAAGAGTGTTCAACAACTTGGCATGAGTATTATGTCACATACCTGCCAGAGGTAAGTGTGTGGACATGTAAGTGTGTTCAACAACTTGGCATTTGTATTATGTCACATATGTACCAGAGGTAAGTGTGTGGACATGTAAGTGTGTTCAACAACTTGGCTTGGGTTTTATATCACATATGTACCAGAGGTAAGTGCGTGCGCATGTAAGTGTGTTCAACAACTTGGCATGGGTATTATGTCATATATGTACCAGATGAAAGTTTGTGGACATGCAAGTGTGTTCAACAACTTGGCATGGGTATTAAGTCACATACCTACTAGAGGTAAGTGTGCGGACATCTAAGTGTGTTCAACAACTTGGCATGGGTATTATGTCACATATCTACTAGAGGTACGTGTGCGGACATCTAAGTGTGCTCAACAACTTGGCATGGGTATTATGTCACATATCTACTAGAGGTAAGTGTGCGGACATCTAAGAGTGTTCAACAACTTGGCATGAGTTTTATGTCACATACCTGCCAGAGGTAAGTGTGTGGACATGTAAGTGTGTTCAACAACTTGGCATTTGTATTATGTCACATATGTACCAGAGGTAAGTGTGTGGACATGTAAGTGTGTTCAACAACTTGGCATTTGTATTATGTCACATATGTACCAGAGGTAAGTGTGGTGTATGTAATGACATGTAAGTGTGTTCAACAACTTGGCATTTGTATTATGTCACATATGACATTACCAGAGGTAAGTGTGTGGACATGTAAGTGTGTTCAACAACTTGGCATTTGTATTATGTCACATATGTACCAGAGGTAAGTGTGTGGACATGTAAGTGTGTTCAACAACTTGGCATTTGTATTATGTCACATATGTACCAGAGGTAAGTGTGTGGACATGTAAGTGTGTTCAACAACTTGGCATTTGTATTATGTCACATATGTACCAGAGGTAAAGTGGCATGTGGACATGTAAGTGTGTTCAACAACTTGGCATTTGTATTATGTCACATATGTACCAGAGGTAAGTGTGTGGGCATGTAAGTGTGTTCAACAACTTGGCATTTGTATTATGTCACATATGTACCAGAGGTAAGTGTGTGGACATGTAAGTGTGTTCAACAACTTGGCATGGGTATTATGTCACATATGTACCAGAGGTAAGTGTGTGGGACATGCAAGTGTGTTCAACAACTTGGCGTTTGTATTATGTCACATGGGTTGGTGTCATGCTGGAATGAATATGTTGTACACGCAATGGGTAAGTTTCATTTACATTTCACCGTTACATGAACAAGAAAAGTATTTCACCGTTACATGAACAAGAAAAGTCAGCTTTCTCTTCTCTTCGTTGCTGGCTAATTTCTTCTTTTATGATCATATACATGTATTCACAGTTAACGCTTCAGTGCAGTGTTAGCTGATGCATAATTTTGAACTTAATGTTTGCCTAAATTAAATGACTAAACTATCCGGCTGACACTTTCAATATACCTGCATTTTGGCTCTACCCTTTGACAAACTCTGCGTGTATTGGCTGAAGTTCGTGTTTGTCTCTTGTCATCATAGTGTTCTTTGGATCCTGCAGGCTGCTGATGACTGGTGGACAAGTATATACTTATTATGGGTATTGTCGAAGTGCATGTCGAAAACACCATGAACATCCGGGTTACAATTGGTCTTCAGCAACCCATGCTTGTAAGAGGCGACTAACGGGATCGGGTGGTCAGGCTCGCTGACTTGGCTCAGTCATGTTACCGTATCCAAAATGCGTAGATCGATGCTCATAATGTTGATCACAGGATTTTCTAGTCCAAACTTGATTATATACACACATCTGCCATAAAGCTGGAATACTGCTGGTTGCGACGTTAAACACGAGAGTTGGCTGGTTAATCAGGTGTGTGATGATATCCTTAGTAGAATACACAAAATAGCAAACAAATGTGGTCTGGCAACAAGTCTGGCAGTACTATGTGAAATATTTACACTTTCTCCGACTAACAGGGGGCGGTGGGGTAGCCTAATGGTTAAAGCGTTGGCTCGTCACGCCGGAGACACGGGTTCGAATCCCCACATGGGCACAATATGTGAAGCCCATTTCTGGTGTTCCCCGCCGTGATGTTGCTGGAATATTGCTAAAAGCGGCGTAAAACCAAACTCAGTCAGTCAGTCAGTCCGACTAAGACATAATATAACCGTCATGCTTTAACATCAAATTATTGTTTCATAAAAAAACAAACTTGGTGTGACATATGCACTTAATGTCCATGCAACGGTGAGCAACTTTTCATGGGTAGTATATATCACATGCTGACACATTGTGCCTCTTTCAGGGGTACAATTTACTTGCATTTTCGAGTGTATATGATAGCCCTTCCTGTGTTTTAGGATACGCTCACGGCTACATGAACACCTGGGCCCACTTGCACAGAACGATATTAGCCCTACAATTATTATAAAACCCTAAGATCGCGATCTTAAATCCACGCCGTCATACAATCGCGCTTAGATCGGTTTTATGCAAGCGGAGTAGGGAAATTGTATGATTGTAAAGTTGACTGTAAGGGCCAACGATTAATTGTAACTTAGATTGTTCTGTGCAAGTGGGAAGAGGTCATTGCTATTTGATAGTGAATGCAAACGTTAAGTTTTTAATATAGTTTGAATTGCAGAATAGGGTCTGTGTTTATCAGAACTTACTAATGACAATGGTTTAAGACACTTTTACTTGTACAGGAGTGTCGGCAGCAGTATGTCATTTTGATGAATACTTCAGACGTCGGTTCAAGAGTCAATCAAAAATTTATCCCCATTTAAATAAATGAGTGAGTGAGATTAGTTTTACACCGCTCTTAACACTATTCCAGCAATATCACGGCCGGGACATCCGAAATGGGCTTCACACATTGTACCCATGTACGGAATCGAACCCGGGTCTTCGGCGTGACGAGCGAACGCTTTAACCACTAGGCTACCTCATAGCCCCTCAAATAAATTACTGCTCTCTCTCTCTCTCTCTCTCTCTCTCTCTCTCTCTCTCTCTCTCTCTCTCTCTCTCTCTCTCTCTCTCTCTCTCTCTCTCTCTCTCTCTCTCTCTCTCTCTCTCTCTCTCTCTCTCTCTCTCTTATTTCTGGTGTCCCCCAGAATTATGCTAAATATATACACAACAATCAACCATCTATCTGATAACTTCCTGACATAGACACACACAAATAAATTACTGCTTTTCAATATGTGTTGTCAATAGTGTGTTAGTCATGACAGTCTTCAGACTTGGGGCCTTGTCCATGTTAAACATGCAAGCTTCATAGACAGATTGAAAATATACCCGCAATTGTCTCCAGTAAACTGGATGATGGAAGTTATTGTGAATTTTAAAAATGATGTAAATTTAGTTGTTACAATATCATAACTCATCAAGCTGCCATAAATAATACAAATAATAATAATAATACAAGCATAATATACATCAGATTAACTCGTTACCTCACAAATGACATACGAATTATGTTAAATATATACACAACAATCAACCATCTATTTGATAACTTTCTGACATACACACTCTCTCTCTCTCTCTCTCTCTCTCTCTCTCTCTCTCTCTCTCTCTCTCTCTCTCTCTCTCTCTCTCTCTCTCTCTCTCTCTCTCTCTCTCTCTCTCTCTCTCTCTCTCTCTCTCTCTCTCTCTCTTATTTCTGGTGTCCCCCGCCGTGATATTGCTTGAATATTGTTCAAAGCGGCGTAAAACCTAACTCTCACTCACTCACTCTCCCTCATCTCTTCTCTGTCTATCTTTGTTTCTTTGTCTTTGTCTCTCTCTCTCTCTTCCATAAAGTTTATCTCAAGGCATGACACTCGAAACAAATAACCACAGCATATATCATTTATTTAGCATGATATATTGTTCAGTTTACAATTCCAAGTCCAATTCCTCTGTTAGACTCCTCCGCCATCAATGGCTTTGCCTGCATTCTGGAAGAAAGACATTGGATAGGGTCAAACAACACTCTCAAGATCAGGATTGTATTAACTGTGCTATACCAAATGGTTAATATCCATAGTCATTTGTTGGCCAAAGTATAATCTAAGTAATAACGTACCATGTCACCTAGGAGTCTAAAAATGTCCCTTTGGAGCGAGAGGATAATATGGTGCGCTAGGAGCGAGAGGATAGTACGGTCCACTCTGGTATCTGAGTGCTTGAGCCTGTGCGGCCCGAAACCGTGCAGCCTGTGCAGCCTGTGCAGCCTGAGCTTGTGCAGCCTGAGCTTGTGCCTGAGCTTGTGCCTGAGCCTGTGCAGCCTGAGCTTGTGCCTGAGCTTGTGCCTGAGCCTGTGCGGCCTGCATCCGTGCAGCCTGAGCTTCTGCCTGAGCCTGTGCAGCCATTGCTTCAGCAGCAGCCCGTGCAGCCTGTGCCTGTGCAGCCTGAGCTTGAGCCTGTGCCTGTGCAGCTTGTGCAGCCTGTGCAGCCTGTGCAGCTTGTGCGGCCTGTGCCTGTGCAGCCTGAGCCTGAGCAGCCTGTGCGGCTTGTGCAGCCTGTGCGGCCTGTGCAGCTTGTGCAGCCTGTGCGGCTTGTGCAGCCTGTGCGGCCTGTGCCTGTGCAGCCTGAGCCTGAGCAGCCTGTGCAGCCTGTGCGGCCTGTGCGGCCTGTGCATGTGCAGCCTGAGCCTGAGCCTGAGCCTGAGCCTGAGCAGCACCAAAGCTCCCAGTAAGCACAGGATTGTAAACAGACCCCACTGCTACACCAGGTTGATAAATCACATGGCCAGCGGCCGCTGCAAGGCACGCACACAACACTACGCAGATTCCGTTCATGATGGATCAGTCTGTGGAAAGAGAGTCATATTTGTGAAAGTCCTCAAAACGAAAATCTGTTCACGTTAGCAGTTTTATGTTACTTAGAACCAGTATTTATGCACCTTGCATGCTGCACTAAACTTTTTCCTGGACCAATGACTGTGATTATTAATACTTTACATTTTAAGGAGGAGTGAGTGAGTAAATGAGTTTAATTTACGCCGCACTCAGCAACATTCCAGCTATATGGCGGCGGTCTGTAAATAATCGAGTCTGGACCAGACAATCCTGGGATCAACAGCATGAGCATCGATCTGCGCAATGGGGAACCGATGGCATGTGTCAACCAAGTCAGCGAGCATGACCACCCGATCCCGTTAGTCGCCTCTTACGACACGCATGGGTGACTGATGATCAATATTCTAACCCTGACCTTCACGGGTATTTAAGAAGGAAGCAAAGGAGATCCATACAGAAGAATCGCAAAGGTTCAGTGTTGACGGAAAGTGTTATCTATATAAGTACTTCATTGTGCCCTGATCTATTCGTCCATGCTGACAAAACTCAGCGTTCCTGAAGGTTTGTTTGTTTTTGTTTTACGCCGCACTATTCCAGCTATATGCCTGAGGTCTGGAAGTAATCGAGTCTGGATCAGACAATCCAGTGATTAACAGCATGAGCATCTATCTACGCAATTGGGATACGATGACATGTGTCAACCAAGTCAGTGAGCCTGACCACCCGATACCGTTAGCCGCCTCTTACGATAAGCTCAAAACTAATTGTAACACGAATGTAAAAGTAACTAATGTATGATAATCAAGAAAGTTGTCCATTATTATTAGCAATCTAAAAGCCGCCATTTTTTTTAGTTTAAGTTGCAGTCACGCTCCTGATTAGTCTGTTGTTGGTTAATGAATCAAGGCAAGTACATTTGAAACACATTAACAACAGGAACGTAGTAAGTCCTATTACCGGTGAGGAGCGGTAGGGTAGCCTAGTGGTAAAAGCGTTTGCTCGTCAAGCCGAAGACCCGGGTTCGATTCCCCACATGGGTACAAAGTGTGAAGCCCATTTCTGGTGTGTCCCCGCATGAATATTGCTAAATGCGGCGTAAAACTAAACTCACACTCTCACTAACAACTACATTAATTGTGGCAAAATAATTTGTAATAATACCATGACCAACCTGTATAGGAGACGTCATGGCAACGTGTGGTTTTAAATACACTAACGCCAGTACATATTTTCGTTTTATGTTCACATAGTGTTTATGAATTGCTTGCAGAAAAAGTATGTAATCTGAGCCATACACTATACTTCCATTTACACAAAATGCAAGATAGCCTTTCCTTATACAACCTTACCTGATGGGTGCGCGTTCCGCAAGAAACCTTAAGGGACGCCAAGACGCATGGTTTATATACGTTAGCAAAACGTTATGATTGATGACTATGAAGTCTTTTACTTGAGTACCTGCATACTTCACATCCACACTGGTGACAGACAAAAAGAAAGAAAAACTGATGTTCATGACTAATCACCTAACCTTTGATTAAAGATAACTGCCCAAAAAGAAGAATAAATGACGTTCTCATGGTGACAAGATAATAGATGTATATGGGGGGTTTTTTTGTGCAATTGAAGAGAATTATGCTTTAAGATGTATTCTTATTTCCTACAATTTCGACGAGAGTAGAGAAAGGTGCTTAATACAAAAGCAAAATAATCAGTCAGTCATGAATCGAACATGAAAAAAGAATATATACATGTAGATTTATTTAGATTTATATGTACATATAATGTTTTCACTCAAGTTACAGACTGTAGCAAACCATAGGTTAGACATGTGCATGTGTCTCACAGTTTAGTATTGTGTGTTTTGACACAGTTTTGTACATATTTTGTTACGAAATACAAATGTCATTTTCATGTCAGCTATTTAGTGAAGTGAGTGAGTTTGATTTTACGCATCTTTTTAACAAGATTCCAGCAATATCACGGCGGGCGACACCAGATATGGGCTTCACACATATTACAGCCATTTGGGGAATCGAACTCTGGTCTTCGGCGTGACGAGCGAACGCTTTAACCACTGGGCTACCCCACCGCCCCTCACCGGTAATAGGACTTAATACGTTCCTGTTGTAAATTTGAACCTGAGCTATTTTAACACTATATGATACTTCTACTTGAACATTGGATCTTTTCCATAATGTATGAGTAGATAATTATTGAGAGCAGTTGAGATGTTGCGGTCTGAGAAGATTTCACATACTTTCCTGTTTCTTCCATATTCCAGTGGCATGAGACCCGTGAAGATCCGGGTTAGAATTGGTCTTCAGCAACCCATGCTTGTCATAAGAGGCGACTAACGGGATCGGATGGTCAGGCTCGCTGACTTGGTTGACACATGTCATCGTATCCCAGTTACGTAGACCGAATCTCATGATGTTGATCACTGGATTGTCTGTTCGAGACCAGTTTATATACAGACCGCCGCTTTACAGCTGGGATAGTGCGGCGTAAAACTAAACTCACTCACTCACTCTATATGTGTTTAATTTTTGTACGTACTTGTTTGATGTTTGACAGTTCATACATCGTGATTATATGACAATGAACAAATGATTCATCGCATGAGTTAATGAGGGTTACACAATATAAGGAAACAAGTTGAAAAAAGTCTGCATTTTGTCTTGATAAAATACATTTTATGACTTGTGATGATGGTATGATCTACGACCAAAATTCCTTTGAGCAATAGATAGGTAATGTCTACGTAAGTAACATTCTCAGGCAAAAATCAGATTCACTAAATGTCATACAATATTTCAGTTCCATGTGCCTATTATATCCAGTCATTATTCAAAGATTGAAACATTTTGTAAATTATACTGCCACCAATCCGGTGGTCCTATCATCACATGCCACTTCTCTGTTGCTGCCAAGGCACATTATACTACCAATTTGGTGGTGATATAAGCACATGCCATTTCTCTGTTGCTGCCAAGACACATCATACTACCAATTTGGTGGTGATATAAGCACATGTCACTTCTCTGTTGCTGCCAAGACACATCATACTACCAATTTGGTGGTCATATAAGCACATGCCACTGATCTGTTGCTGCTAAGACACATCATACTGAGAACATGGTGGCCATATAAGCACATGCCACTTCTCTGTTGCTGCCAAAACACATCATACTACCAATTTGGTGGTCATAAAGGCACATGCCACTTCTTTGTTGCTGTCAAGACACATCATACTACAATTTGGTGGTGATATAAGCACATGCCACTTCTCTGTTGCTGCCAAGACACATCATACTACCAATTGGGTGGTGATATAAGCACATGCCACTTCGATTCTCTGCGGCTGCCAAGACACATCATACTGAGAACATGGTGGTGATATAAGCACATGCCACTTCTCTGTTGCTGCCAAGGCACATCAAACGGCTACCAATCTGGTTGTCATATAAGCACATGTCACTTGTCTGTGGCTGCCAAGATACACCATACGGCCACCAATCTGGTTGTCATATAAGCACATGTCGCTTGTCTGTGGCTGCCAAGATACACCATACTACCAATTTGGTGGTCATATAAGCACATGCCACTTATCTGTTGCTGCTAAGACACATCATACTGAGAACATGGTGGTCATATAAGCACATGCCACTTCTCTGTTGCTGCCAAGACACATCATACTGCCAGTTTGGTGGTCATGTAAGTACATGCCACTTCTCTGTTGCTGCTAAGACACATCATACTGCCACCAATCTGGTTGTCATATAAGCACATGTCACTTCTCTGTTGCTGCCAAGGCACATCATACGGCTACCAATCTGGTTGTCATATAAGCACATGTCACTTCTCTGTTGCTGCCAGAACACCATACTACCAATTTGGCGGTTATATAAGTGCATGCAGTTCTCTGTTGCTGCCAAGACACATCATACTGCTATTTTGGTGGTCATGTAAGCACATGCCACTTCTCTGTTGCTGCCAAGACACATCATACTGCCATTTTGGTGGTCATGTAAGCAAATCCCACTTCTCTGTTGCTGCCAAGACACATCATACTACCAATTTGGTGGTGATATAAGCACATGCCACTTCTCTGTTGCTGCTAAGACACATCATACTGCCACCAATCTGGTTGTCATATAAGCACATGTCACTTCTCTGTGGCTGCCAAGACACATCATACTACCAATTTGGTGGTGATATAAGCACATGCCACTTCTCTGTTGCTGCTAAGACACATCATACTGCCACCAATCTGGTTGTCATATAAGCACATGTCACTTGTCTGTGGCTGCCAAGACACATCATACTACCAATTTGGTGGTGATATAAGCACATGCCACTTCTCTGTTGCTGCTAAGACACATCATACTGCCACCAATCTGGTTGTCATATAAGCACGTCACTTGTCTGTGGCTGCCAAGATACACCATACTACCAATTTGGTGGTGATATAAGCACATGCCACCTCTCTATTTGCTGCCAAGACACATCATACTACCAATTTTGAGGTCATGTAATCATAGATGTTCTGCTTTACAGGAAATGTTTACAGTTGTAGAGTAGGACATGCTTACTCTTTTCGCGAACACCTGGTGTCATTACTGATTTTCGGTGATTTATTCATAGCATTTGCACAGCTATTTTGTCCCTTTAAAACAAAAGGAATCAGTGTCTGCATATAGTCAAAACTGGATGTTCCTATTATATACTCTCCATGACAAGATTTCAAATTGTATAGAGCCTTGTAAGTATAGAGTAAGTATATCTACCTTAATATTTTGATCAAACAATTTTGTAAAGTGATACATGCTATATATAA